TTTGGCCCATTCTAAAAAGGATTGTGATTGGCTAGTTTAAGAGCGTTTTAAAAGACTGAACACTTGTTCGCTTTGAAAATAAAGTTTGTTTCGGAAATTAGAAAGTAATGCGTTATCATAAAAAAAAATAAACCTTGACTGTGCTCTGTTCTGTTAATCATGGGGGATCTCGACTACGTCTCGTGTTTCCACATACACTTCTTTCGTGCTCTAGCCGCTTCCTGCGTGCTTTACAACAGCACAGAGCACAGTCGAGGCTTTTTTATTTGTTAAATTGAAAAGTGCGTTTAGCTCGTTATTTCACGTATTACATTTACTTGTTTTCTTTTCTCTTACTAATAATTATGCCCGTTTAGTTACGTTGCTCACATTGTGGGTGGCTCCTCCCAAAAGGCTAGGGTGCACAGTCGGTATAGGAATTACCGAAACCAATTTCGGAAATGCACACACTTTAGGTATCCCACTGATAACCAGTTAATAAACTCCTCCCAGTGGCTTTTATATCGAAAGATAATGCCTGTGGCTTATAGACTATCAGAAATGGTCCGAAAAATAAATAATTGGCCGAGAAAGGAAGCTTTAAGGGCAAATGTGAAATATTGATGATTATCTCTCAACCAAGGGTCAAGATCCTCCAAACAACCAGCAAGTCAATGTTTATCTATTTTATAAGCCTTCGATTTTTTACACCCATTTTAAGCATTTAAACATGTTGGAAGAAAAACAGAGTCGAAAGTCGCGGGTACCGGGTTTCGACGTCGCGTTGGAAAAAATGATTTTCCGCAAAACTCAGGTTAGAGTTCGAGGTAACTGAGTAAAAATGACTGAAAGGTGGGGTCATATCCAAGGGAAAAGGGACATAGTTTGAGTTATAGAGGGGGATTTCCTCGGATCTATTCGAGTTCGAGTTATACGTATAAATACGAGTTATTCGTACTCTGCACGTGAAGCACATTTTTGGTACAATTCTTTGCCGTTTTTATGCATGACTACAACCTGAAACTTCCAGAAACTTTCTAATTACACGTTTTGTGGAGGAAATGTCGCATGCGTTCCCTTTTGCTTTTTTTTACACTGCTGCTCATTTTCACCTTGGTGGCCGCTAGCATTTCTCATTTTCTCACTGCCCCAATAAAATTTTCATGTTTTTCTTCCAACAAAATTTGCTTCCTTCAGGTTTATCTCTCGCTCTAGCTCTTGCTCTGTTATCAACATCAAGGTAGACATTAAAATTTAGTCGAAAGAAAGACTCAGGGGAGGGGGGGGGGGGACTCGGATTCGTTGCTGCTTTTTTCTCTTCCTAACAGTCAGGGTGGCCACGCAATTTACCACAAAAACGCGCGAGTACTTGACATGTGAAATTTTCCCCCTTTTGTTACATGAAGGGGTGGACGTACGTGCGGACGATTTTGTCAGAAATAAAATTTCTTGGATGCATAGATAATAAAATTTTCTTACCGATCGTGCCCCGCTTCACGCACCTCAAGCGCGAGAGTGCCGCTGATAATAATAATAATAATATTAATTAATAGTAATAATAATAGTAATTATAGCAATAATAAAATAATAATAATAATAATAATGATAATAGCGAATAATTATAATAATAATAAGTCAGAAGAAGATCTGTGTACAACTGTGTCTATTGTTTTAAGCGCAAATTCAGGCACCTTCTCGCCGGTATTTGTGAAGAGTCTTCTTCTTACATCTGCCGTGATGGGATATATCCTTTGTAGATTAAACGATTGCGAGAGTTCGAGTTCCTTGCTTCTATTCAGGGGCCGTGGCGGTAATAACAGTATAAGGTTCTGAAATATTTCGAGTGTTGACAGCGATTAAGCAATGTAAATGACATGTCTTTTCAAAGCATATGTAATTATGGTCCCACTTAATTATCATCTTCATGTAATAAGTTCGGAACGAATAACGCTAAGCCTGAGAATATTGCATATGGTGAAACACAACTTTCTGTGCAGTCAGAACTTGAAATAAAGATACTCAAACTAGCACTACTGAGGAGATGGTGGCTGAATAGTGAACATTTATTCGCCATAAAAATTGGAATTTTTTGGTTGTAACTTCAAACTTATGGAGAATAGTCGAAAGTCTGTTTACATTATTGTAATAAATCACCCTTCCTTTCAAAATAAGTTATAGTTTCCCTTCTGACACCCTGACGGCTCCTGTCCATTGTCAATTACAAGGGGATGTGTTTTTTTTACAAGGCAAACAATGAAACACTATTGAACAAGTTTCTTTTTCCTACAATTTCTCCGATATCGATTAAATTCACAGGATGTGAATGTTTCTCCCCATTTGAATGAAGTTATGTTTAAAGATTCGCGGCGAATTTTGCTCTCCAAGCAAATAGAAGTGTAAACCTATGAAACGTAGTAATTTAGGTTAAGGGTTATTTTTGCTCGCCAGTTTCTTTCCTTTACATAATATCATTTTTTTGTCGACTTGATTCTTTCTTGTTTTTCAGAATGCTTTCAGATAATCCCGTGGAGACTATTGGATCACATGCATTCACAATTCCAAGAAATGACCTTGTATTGTAAGCAGTTGATACACTAAAGTAAAAACAGTGTCTTACTATCCACTTCTTCTACTGGATTCTGAAATAAGTCCCCATTTTCTGATATTATCTGTAGAGGGTCCTGAAGGTGTAAAATGGGAACTGGGATTCGCCTTTTTATGTGGAAAAAAATGGATTTTACTGCACTGGGGCTGGGATATAACCACTGGGAAAGGCATAAACCATTTCTAAAAGGGAAATGGGATTTCTATCCTTTCACGATCTTCGACTTGATTATATGACACAATTGCTTAGGTGTGCCTATTTTTTTTAAGTAAAAGAAATAATAATGTACACGTAGACCTCAGTAGACACATAGGATCATGTCAGTTTATTCGCATTCGCATCTAATGCCTCGACGACACCCAATTAGCTGTTGTGGCTTGTCCCCAGGGTCTTTTTGTTTTCTGAGGTCACATTATTGAAAAAAAAACGAGAAAACGCTGGGACGATGGGAATGACATACGCACGTTTGCGCGTGACAGAGATCAAAATGGTGCCCAATTTATATTTTGCAAGTGTTCCACCTGGCTTGTACGCATTATGGTGAAATAACAACGATGCTATAGCGAGCTAGGCCTCCCTTCAGGTCAGATTTGTTAAATTTTGGCACAAAAACGATTCAAATAAGTAACAGTTTAAACACTTTTATCTGCGAATCAGGTGAACGAAACATACCTGGATTAAATTGATATATTAATCACTCTTTAATCAACGCAACCAGCACCGCACCAATCAGAAGCTGCGTATACATTTTTCGGAATTGTGCAGTTTCGGAGCAAGCGTTTCCTTTCCCCCTCCCCCTTCTTTGTTATGCTCTCGTCCCAACTTTTTGGAAGACCTCGGGCGGAACCTCTTGTTGCGTAGGCTACCCGCGGAGGTTCTCAACGTAATGATTACAGCAGCAGCAAAAAATAAGAAAGTGAAGACTGTGATTTGGATGAGGATTGTGCAGAAGACAGAAGTGGTTTTAATATGGTGATGTCAACAAGGGTTGGAAGAGGAAGAGTGTTCACCAGCAGGATGAGTAATTTTCTTCGGTCTAGGTGAATGAAGGTTCATAATCCAAATGGCATCAATCAGCGCTTTTACCTCATGACGCGCATCAGTTAGCAAACAAGCACTGGAAATGGGATTACAGATTTGGTAACTGGGATTTGGACTAAAGTCAGGCTGACAACTGGAATTAGGTACCCTTCCCACCCTCACCCCCCCTTTCAGGACCCTTCCTAAAAAAAATTCTGGAATAAGCGGTTGTCTTGATTTTAAATTTTGCTTCATAATTTAGGCAAGCAACTCGAAAGCTCTCTTCCACTGATGTACATTAATTTCGATGTATACTTGCTTTCTTTGTGTGCAACATAGATTCTCTCGCTATGTTTCGCATTTACGTGTTTTTTTGGTCCTGAATGTCATACTGACGCCATCGATCATAAAGGTCACTCGCACATCTACTACAAATCACGTGATTGGTGGGAATTGTTGTGACCGAACTAGTCGGTAAACAACGAAGGATTACAACGGATTGAACCTTAAACGATTACTTTTATTCCGCCTTCACGACTCGTGGTCCTTAACAACTACAGTCAGGCGTTCCATGCACTACTGAGGGGGAATCTGGGTCTTAATACAGTACAGGGATGATTCTAAGTTTATTCACTTTTACGTGCGTTCAATGTCAGGTGGAAGAGGTGGAGATCCTTCCCTTCTTTCATGATAAACAAGGAAAAAATAATCCAATAAATAGGCACCAAAATAAGGAAAATAATCTAAGCAACAGGACTAAGGAAAAAATGCGGAGAGCGAATTAACAAAAGCGGGAAGCATTTCAGGAAAGAGCAGGTGTCAAAGATAAAGTTTGGTAATAACAATGAAATCGATCAAAACTAAAACTTTGTAGAATACAGTTGTAGGTCAGTAGTCCTGCTTTTATACTTTCTTTTTTGTTTTGTTTTGTTATTTTTCATTTATCCAATTACTGTTTATAATATTGCTATCATTGTTGTAGACCAGGATATAGTAAAACTTGTACTTAAGAAAAAACTAAGGGGTTCCTAAAGACTTTACACTTCGTAGCTAGACATTGCCCTATAATACTACTTTCTTGACCACAAAGCGAGATGAAAATATCTCTATTCTTCTTGTAGGAAAATATAATGCAAAGCTTGTAAATTCTGAGTCGCACTTTTTTTGCCGGTCCTTCTTCTTCTTCTTCTTCTTCTTCTTCTTTTATTTGGACTTGAACTATTTTTCATTAGATTGAGTTCGGTTCCGCCCACAATTTAAAATTCCAAACTATTTTGATCAGAAAAAAAAAGGAATACATAACAGATACACATACGATGTTAAAAAGTCAAAACCTTGAAAATTCGATGATGGACAATAATCACATATTGTTTCTTCCTTTTTTTGTTTAAGACATATGATACGAACAGAAATAAAGACTTTCAGTCTCCGATCTTTTTACGGCATTGACAACCTTACGATTGATATGTAAGTATGGTCTATGGTGCATGTAATGTAGTTGCATATTAGAATATATAATGTCTTTGACTGAAACTGAAAAAAAGACGGCTGTTTTATCGGCGTCTGATCTGTTGCGGCCGGGGTCTTTGTCATGGGAGTTTGAGTGCAAAGTTATTTTTGAAACAAGGATCTTCTATTTCATTTCTTATTTGATTATGACTCCAATCATCTTTCTTTCGCTTTTTTCAATAGAAGTTTTAATGAAGGAAAAATTGGGATTATGAAATTCAGGGATGACGAACGTAACTGCTCAATTTATCTGTGAGTGAATTCATCGTTACAACAAAAAAGATATCAGAAATCTGAATATGTGAACTTATTTTTTCTCTATCATTAGCTCTTACTTGGTAATTGATTTTTCTTTTTATAATTTTTGTTTTTACATTAGGGGATTAGGACAGAGTGATTCTGAACATAGCGTCATTTCTGATATCATTTCTGGAAACAATTATTGGGTTAGAGAACAAATACGAGCGGCTTTCAAACAATCTGGATTTGCCAATGAAAGTGTGGACCGTTATAAATTACTTCCATGTGAATTTGGGACGTACGTTAATACTTCTGCTGAAACCATCAAATGCATAGAGTGCCCAGCAGGTAAATTTATTCGCAGTTTATGGAAGCTGCACAATTATATCGTCGGGATAATATGTTTACACTGTTAGTCAGCGCTGTGCTCATTACGGTTTAAAGGTACTTACATGTAGTATTAGATGGCGTGTGTTTATTCCTGGAATACTAAAGTATCTATCTAAAGACAACCATAAGACTCTGGTTGATACTTTTTCCCCTGTGGAATATAATACTGTAAAGAGAAAGGAACCAATAAGCTACACTGTTGTTCGAGGTCACTGGCAGCATATCTTCATTGAGTCCAAACCTATATTTGTTTGATTTTGGAGTAAAACGGTGTCACTTCAGGCTGGAAATTTCAGGTACACAAGTCAACCAAATAACTGACAGCAATCCTATGATTATTGAGTGGACAGTGATGAGGAAAAATCGCTTTAGCTACAACATTTAGAAAGTCATGTTCGCCTTTTGTACCAGAAGTACGTATAGCTGTTTTTCACTGCCATCGAAAATAAAAACCAAAACCGTTCTATAGATTAAGTCCAGAATCTGGGAAATGAAAGACGTTTAATATTCAAAGGATCTCGATGTGCTTCAAGTCGGTGCAATTTTTCACATGCGAGATATTCGGAGATATATATTATCTAATTTTATAAAGCTTTTGTATGGTGACGCCAAGTTGTTACGCCTCTGAGAGGCACCAACATGGCGGCCGAAAATTAATAGCAGCGTATGTTACCGAGAAAACTAGTCGATCGCTGCCTGAAACAATGCGAAACAAGGCGATCACAAGCAGCGAACTTTGAAACACAGAAACAAAGTGGATGGAAATGCATCAATCACAAGTAAACATTTGTTTTCTAAGAGGTCCGCTAAGATGATTTACAAATGTAATTAAGGTGATTCCCTGGTTTTGCATTGCGCATCTCTTACTGCGCATAACAAGATGGCCACCGTAAAAAAGAGCATGTGAAGTAACAGTATTAAAATGAAGTTGACCGAAGAGAAACGCTATTGTAGTTTTTGCTTACGGTTGTTTCTTGCCGAAGTGAGACTCAGTGTGGTGGGAATGTGCATAACGTAAGCAGTACGCGTGTTTCTGAATTCGACTTCCTCACGGAGAACCTCGATAGTGGATGTTTAATTTGTGCTTATTCACTTTGATTGAAACGCTTTCTTTATCAAATTGTGTCCTAAATGTGATATCTGGATGTAAATTCTGTAAAAACGGATTTTTTAATACTTTCTTCCCCCCTTTCACATACATTCTATTTTAAAACTCGCCCCAGTCCTCTCTCAAAAATCAAGGAAAATGCATTTGTTGCGCTTTTTCTGCAGCTCTACCGCAAAAACGAGTACGGTGACCCCCATTTTTTATTTCATGATTTTAATAAGGACAGTGCTTCCTTTCGGTGAGAAAAAAATTGGCACAAACCTATGTTCAGTTTTTTGGCAATTTTAGTAAATTGTACGGATTGAGCTATCACGTGTAAAATAGCGCGTGTCCAATTTAATTCTACTTTGGAGCGTAAAGTAAAAACAAGGGCATTAAAAGGCATTTTTATGTTACCTAAGTGAATAAACAATACATTAGAGTCAAATTCTGTGCCATACCACATGCATCATTGAAAAATCTTTCTTTTTTGTCTAGTTTTGGGCTGCGCGCGGTTTTTGTCAAAGGGTCCAAAATAGCCGTATTTGTCAGCATTGTGACGTCAAAACGAGCACAGTGACCCCACTTTTTATTACTTTTTTATCATCTTCTTGACTTGTTACATCAGTGTACCAAGTTTCATCTACAATCTATGTTAGGTTCTTTTACTAGGGAATCACCTTAAGCCCCCAAATGTAATAAGAATTGATCACTAATGTAATTAAACGACCTTAATGCTATGAAAACCATATATACTCGATTTTAAGTCGGGACACAAAGCACCGCGGCGCTCTTTCGAAAAATACACTATGAGCGCCGCCCTCAAACAACCTTAGCAATACGCGCCACGGCAGTCTTTCGAATTAACAGAGTTAATTGGATTAAATGGGTTGAATGCAGTAGAAAATAGAGTTTTTACGAAATAGCGCCGCAAGCCTTATTTGTTTTCCTTCTTTTATGTGCGACTGTTACGAACTGGGCGGTTCCATTTCGAAAAAAAAAGAAATGAAATATTTTGTTTTTTTCGAAAGAGCACCGCGGCGCTTATTTCTGTCCGACTTTTACTGAGGGTGGCGCTCATCCGAGAAACACGGTTTTGATAGCATTTGAAGGTTCTAGTATATTTTTTTACCAATTTGTATTACATTTAAGGGCTTCATTACATTTGTGGCTTCAACACACATATATTATACTTTATTATGATATTACCTTTTAGGCGATCAGAATAAATATCACGTGACAATGACGACACGTTAGTTTTAGCTCCAAATCGAATTTCAGCCCTTGCATCGGTATTTTCCTTGAAAATGCTTTACCCTACTGCCTATCTATAAATTAGATAAACAGCAATTAAACCACAACTCGTTAATATATTTTCTCTAAATTACTTTTTTTCAGTGCACGTGATGCAATTGATCGGCGTACTATGAAATCCGCGAATTTCATGTCCATTGAAAACAAAACTTTTAAAGTTGTTTAACGCAAACCCATGCCCAAAATTAAAGCAATGTCATAGATTTGGATAATTTCTTACTCTGGGATTTGCTATTTGTAGTGTTGTGTCAGTTTAGGTCTTTAGTATGCGTTTTGTGAACTAATTTTAAGTGTTATGAGTATTTATACAGCTGATGGTTTTTTAAAGAGTGGAAATTATTTATTAAGGGTCGTCGTTAGTTGTTTGCTTGTAGCCGGCGTACTTAGGTACTTACTTAACACTTTAGGCTCGAGTTCACAACAACAACAACAAGTACTTTCCATGCAGCACAAGATAATTTTCCGTGCGTGGCTGCCCATGCCACCGAAATCTTTCCCAAACATGGTAATGTTGTAGAAAGGGATAAAAGTGAGGAAAGGGAAAACAATTAGACAACATACGTTTTATACGCGAGCTCATCAGCGTCCGCTATTTAGATCTATTTCCCAGATGATAACATTGCCAATTTCATTTAATTTGTGACACCGTCACTGCCTCTTTTCACCAGTTTTCTCCCTTTCACAACATTACCATATTTCAGAAAGATTTTGGAGAGCAACCAAAACGGTAAATTCAAGCCAATTTTAAGGTATAATTACTAGTGTTTTATAAAACTGGTCCAGACTCATCCACCTCATTCCTGCATTGGTTTATTTCTCATATGTCAAGAGATAATAAGCTAAGAGGTCGAGTCCCCCATACATGGCCCTATTCCTATGAAATATATTTGAAATCTATTTTTGGTTCTGGAACTGCGTGGCTATTTTAATGACGCCACCTTATTGGTCGGTTAGAACGGCGTCGTGTAATTTTACGCTTGACGGTTAATTCATTTCACTAACCGTCACGTAGTAAGTAACGTAACGTTCGAACTTTTTGATAAAACTTAAATTGTCTTTCGTCAATTCAATATATTTTGAGAGTTGAGGCATTAATCCCAGTAAGTTTTCTGATATATCACACCTACCTATTATTTTCCCTTGCTAGTGATCTTTTTTTATCCTTTGTTCTTTCAGGAGGTTTCTATTCGGACACGAAGGCTTTTGTAAACGACGGCTGCCGACAATGCCCCAGTGGAACTTTTGTCCATTACAACGAAGCCCCCGGGAAAAGCCAGGTGGACTGCAAGACATGTCCAGAAGGTAATGCTCTTAAACTCCCGCACTTACCGCACTATGGAGCATAATATTAGTTATTAGTTGATCCAAAATCTTCTTCCTTCTCATTAGCCGAGACCCTATCACGTGACCTGCAATTAACTGCCTACAAATAATTGTCTGCTCATGCGCAATGTCGTCCAACTTTCTTTGCCTACAAATAATATTCTCCTTATGCGATCGCTCTTGCGAGAAAATAGCAGCTTCCCGAAGAACGTTGAGCAAACGCCCCTGGATAAAGGTGGTTATAGTTATATTTATGTCCATATTGTATTTAGCCATAATTAAAACTAGAGGTTACAAATATGTGTGTAATGCTGCACGCAGATACTGGGTATGCGGTGAACTGACATACGCATGCAATTAATAGATGTGGGATAAGGGAGTACAAGGGAGTCACGATTTCTTTGTGATTTTGAAAGTGTTTACGCGCGCCACAATGAGTAAAAGATAGCGCAAATTGGAATAACACAACGAGAGTGGAACGATTTTAAATTAAGTTATGAAGACACTACTGCATAAGCTTGCTAATTCCAATCATCCAGACAAAACATAAATCCATATTATCACGCCTAAAAAGCGAAAGGACAGACAAAAGAAACCACATGAGACCCAACTATTATTTTGCCTCCACTACACAACCGAACACACAAAACAACACTTTGAGGTATGGTCGCGTCGGTCAGCCAGGCCCAAACACTTTATTAACTCACGTGAAAAACTCCACTGTTACAGTAATTCTAAGAACACGCCAGAGCCCTAAACCCGAAAAAACCAACTATTGGAAAAATAGGGACCGTGTAACCCCAACTTATGCTATGGCGTCGCCTTTGGGGATATAAGGCAAAACTAATAAAATAAAGCCTAATAACATGAATACGAGCAGAAAACGAGATGCTACATAAAATTGCTAAGAAACATAGGGACCAGTACAGAAGGCAACGAAATTAAGGCTAACAGAGTAAGTGAAAACTAAAGTAAACAAAGCAAGTTGACGCGGCGAGGCCGACCGTAGAATGACACGCATAACTAAACGGTCACTACAGTGTATATCAAACTCCATAATCGCGATCCCTTGCGCGCTACACTAGAACCCAGTTCTCCGTTACGTGCCGGCAAAATAATAATTTATGTCAATTCTAATTTACACTAATTATATAATGTGCTGCTCGCCTGGGGACTAAAAGCAGATAGGTAGCCAATGGCTACAAGTGTACTGTCTAAGGAAGCTGGACTTAAGGGAAAGTTAGAAAGGTGTGAGAAAAGAAAAAAAGAGACGAGACAAAATAAAAAAAAAACAACACCAACAAAGAAACACTTTCTTTTTGTGAAGAAAATAGTCAAATTTTAGTCCATTTTTAGAACAAACTGCGCCACTGTCAACGTCATTTGGGACCTTACGATACCAAGACGGCGACGGTAACTGGAACGTCTAAAACACAATAGGGTTTTTTTTATGAGGAAAACAACAACTCTACACGTGCTGTACATTTCTTTGCCATCCCTGCACAATTACGTTGTGAAATGTCCAAACGGGAGTGGCAAGGCGATAAAATGTACTTATTCTCTCTGAACTAGGACAATCAGTGAAAGATTCCGGCAATTCTACTTTTTTACAAAAAGGTCAACTCTGCTAGTTAAAAACACCAGAAAAACTGCATTCATTTTCCATAGAACAAAATGCAAAATTGTTACCTTTTTTGTCTATGCTTGTCGTTTAGGTTAAAAGTTAAGAAAAGGTACCTTTTTTGAAAAAGAAGTCAGGTATTTTCAGCTTTCGAGTGAATGATATTTTGACGTCAATATTGTCCGCTCTTCATCCATTTCTCAACTTAACCAAACGATGTTTTAAAGCGCAAAAGAGGTACCTTTTTTCGGTTTCAAGCAATCTCATGAAAGGCACAAAAAGGTACCTTTTTTGCAGTTGGAAGCGATGTTCTCAAAAGCGCGAAAAAGGTACCTTTTTGGCAGTTGGAAGTGATGTTCTCAAAAGCGCGAAAAAGGTACCTTTAATAGTGTTTTCAAGCCATGGGAAGCCATTTAGAATCCTACTGATTGACAGATGTCATAGGTGTCATTTTTATGAATTTTTTGTCTGAATTTACTAATCCACTAGTCAAGAGATAAATCTTCCCTGTTTATTCGCCAAGTTTGAAACCAATTGCTGAGCTTGACACTGTAACATGTACAGTGTCAGGTCGCAGTTTTAAAATCTATCCCCCTTGCTTGATTTTGGCATGGGTGTGAGTCATCTTGATCAGTCTTGGAGTGAAGCTGGAAGCATTGTCGCTGGTTCAGTGGTTATCAATGAATGACAGGTGTTAGTTATATTAGTAACCTGAAGAGAAGCCGAGCCAGTCTCTTGTGCATTTAAAATGCTTTACCTTAATGCTCCAGTTTTTCGAATAACATCCTCACCCGAAAAAAAATTCACTAAAATGCGCGATGATGCGATGATGATACGTATGTGTTAAAACAACAAGAATGTATGTTAATGGATTTAATACACCAAAAGACAATTGTCTAAACAGTGGCATTTGAATTCTCTTTATTTTGACTCTTGAGAAATTATTTTCTATTTGAAAGTTTCTAATGTTCATTTCTCTGAAAAAAAAAATCCGGAAAATTCCACCAAAGTTCTCGAAAAAAGTGCTGGCTTACTGTACAAAAGTCTAAGAAGAGGAAAGTTGTTCAGGCTTACTCTTAGTATTTAGTTAGGGGGTGTCAGAGGTACATGTATGGTGGCATTTTTACTGTTAATGGCTTTACTTCGCCCTGTAGCTCGATCAAAAAGCACCTGAAGTTAAATTATTTATATAATTTATATCATAGCAAACAAAAATAACCCCAAGACTGAAGTCTCTAATTTAATAACCTTTCTGGAGTGAAAAACATCACCCAGGAAACAAGACATGCAGTTACATTAAAATGACCCGCTCGGAACCCGCTTAGTTTAGACTTAAAGGAAAATGAACACCTTTGCTTTACATGTAGGACTTCTTTCAGGTTAAAGTATTTGCTCCACGCTTAAAGCTGTGCTTGCTGAGCTTCTCTTCTTGCATCTAGTTTTAAAGTACCAGAAGTTGTTACTAACATTTTCAGGAGCCATTTTATCCATTTGGCTGGTGGCTAGTATTTTCGGATTTCTTCTAGTTTCTCGCTTTTGAGGCCAGCTAAAATTTCTTGCTCCGGTGATTCCCCTTGTAGATCATTTCAATTTTAACAGGATCACCTAGAATCCTCTAAAAAAAAAGTCTGTGCATTGTTCATGGAAGCTCAAGAGGTGCCAACGGATGACATATGTCAATCAGTAGGATTTTTAATGGCTTCCCAAAAGCTTGAAAACACTATTTTATATTTTTAAAAAGGTACCTTTTTCGCACTTTTAACAACATCACTTCCAACTGCAAAATAGGTACCTTTTTCGCGCTTTTGAGAGCATCGCTTTCAACTGCAAAAAAAGGTACCTTTTTGTGCCTTTGATGAGATCGCTTGAAGACGACAAAAAGGTACCTTTTTCGCGCTTTAAATCATCGTTTGCATGGCAAAGTGAGAAATGGATGAAAAGTGGACAATATTGATGTCGAAATATTTTCACTCGAAAGCTTAAAATATCCGCCTTTTTTTTTTCTAAAAAGGTACCTTTTTTTAACTTCTCACCTAATCGACTAGCATTAACAAAAAAGGTACCAATTTTGCATGTTGTTCTATGAAAAATAAATGCAGATAGTTAATTTTTCTGCTCTTTTCAAGTAGCAGAGTTGATCTTTTTGTAAAAAAGTAGAATTGCCGGAACCTTTTACTGATTTAGAATCAGTGAAAGGTTCCGGCAATTCTACTTTTCTAGAAAAAGATCAACTCTGCTACTTGAAAAGAGCAGAAAAATTAACTATCTGCATTTATTTTTCATAGAACAACATGCAAAATTGTTACCTTTTTTGTTAATGCTAGTCGATTAGGTGAGAAGTTAAAAAAAGGTACCTTTTTAGAAAAAAAAAAAGGCGGGTATTTTAAGCTTTCGAGTGAAAATATTTTGACGTCAATATTGTCCACTTTTCATTCATTTCTCACTTTACCAAACAAAACTTTAAAGCGCCAAAAAGGTATATTTTTTTCAGTTTGAAGCGATCTCTTCAAAAGCGCGAAAAAGGTACCTTTTTTTCAGTTTGAAGCAATCTCTTCAAAAGCGTGAAAAAGGTACCTTTTTGCGGTTTAGAAACGTTCCTATCAAAAGCGCGAGAAAGGCACCTTTTTTGCGGTTGGAAGCAATGTTCTCATAAGTACCAAAAAGGAACCTTTAAAAATAAATGGCGTTTTCAAACTATATTTGAAAGCCGTTTCAAATCCTACTGATTGACAGATGTCAACCGTTTGGGCCATTTGATTTGCTTGAATTGACTGACCCACTAGTCAAGAGACAAATATGGCGGAATATATGGAAAGCAATGTCACTTTAATAAGGAATCTCATTGAAGACAATAAAACGTAGTATAAATATCATGAATCAGTGAAAGGTTCCGGCAATTCTACTTTTTTACAAAAAGATCAACTCTGCTACTTGAAAAGAGCAGAAAAATTAACTTTTTGCATTTATTTTTCATAGAACAACATGCAAAATTGGTACCTTTTTTGTTAATGCTAGTCGATCAGGTGAAAAGTTAAAAAAAGGTACCTTTTTAGAAAAAAAAGGCGGGTATTTTAAGCTTTCGGGTGAAAATATTTTAACGTCAATATTGTCCGCTTTTCATCCATTTCTCACTTTACCAAACGAAACTTTAAAGCGCGAAAAAGGTACCTTTTTTTCAGTTTGAAGCGATCTCTTCAAAAGCGCGAAAACGGTACCTTTTTTTCAGTTTGAAGCAATCTCTTCAAAAGCGCGAAAAAGGTACCTTTTTTGCCTTTGGAAGCGATGTTCTCGTAAGTGCGAAAAAGGAACCTTAAAAATAAATGGCGTTTTCAAATTATATTTGAAAGCCGTTTCAAATCCTACTGATTGACAGATGTCAACCGTTTGGCGCCATTTGTTTTGCTTGCATTGACTGACCCACTAGTCAAGAGACAAATATGGCGGAATATATGGAAAGCAATGTTACTTTAATAAGGAATCTCATTGAAGACAATAAAAGGTACAAACATGTCAGTGAAATTCTCAGACAAAACTTTCCAGAAGTAACAAGAGGCTTTTCAGAAAGAAACGTGCGATTGTTTTGTGCTAAATATGGGATAAGACGACTGAACGAATACGAAGTGGATTCCATCGGTCAGGATTGCGTGAACGAGGTAAGCCTGTTTTTGTTTTGCATTTTTTGTATCAGTTTGTTTGAATAGGGACGTTCCATTTTTATTCGTATCTCCCCCTATGGATGAGCAGATTTCTACCAACTCACTGTTTTGTTGGAAAAAAACTTTTCCTAACCCCTCATTTTTGTCGGTTCCTTGTTCCTAGTTGTCTGACGAGGATACTCATCCATAGGGGAGGGGGAAAGGAATATAAATGGAACGTCCCATACGTTTTCATGTATGAACTATTGTCTGAATATGTGTCTTTAAACTTTAGGTTGGCCCGACGTACGGACGCAAAATGATGACAGGTTATGTCCGCAGCAAAGGCTTAGGTTTAAGAGGCAATCAAGTTTCAAAATCGCTGAGACGCGTGAATCCAGTGAATCATTCCAGAAGAAGAGAAGATACGGTTCGGAGACAGAATCCAGTTCCATATTATGCGCCGTACTTCGGCAACAAATTGCACTGTGATCAGAACGAGAAGCTTGCTATGTACGGATGCACGTTTTTCGCCATGTCTGATGGGTGTAGCTCAAAAATAGTCAAACTGTTTTCTATGCCAAAGAAAAATGCACGGAATGAAAAAAGGCACCCACGAAATAAAACAGTTATTATGATAACCCGCTCAGTTTTAATAGACTTAAAAGAAAAAAAACACTTCTCTGCTGTTTGTCGTAGATCGACGTAGAATCTGATATATTTTTTTCGCAGATTAAAATGGTTGGACTTTTCATATAGGACTTTTTTTTAAGTCTTCGCTCCACGCTTAAAAATGGGCCGGCTTGCTTAGGTCCTCCACATGCATCTAGTTTGAAAGAACCAGTAGCTATTTCATCCATATGGATGGTAGCCAGTATTTTCGGATCTCTTCAGTCTAGTTTCTCAATTTTGATCGGCTAAAAGGAGCCAGCTATTTTTTTTTAGTCCGATGATTCCCCATAGTAGAACCTCGTCCACGTACGTAGGTCGGAAAATATGCCAATAATGCAGGACGCGATAATTATAATATTGCGCGTCCGAGCCATTTCTGTTAAATAGCCGGGGCCACTGAGGAATAGCCTCCCATACAGGTGTTTGTAGGGCAGTCTGGGATGGGTTTTGCTCGTTTTAATTAGATTCGGGACTGCGAAATTCGATTGTAGAAACGGGACATAGAGTCCCTTAAAAACGTCTGTGTATCGTTCGTTAGGGGCGCCATATTTAGCACAAAACAATCGCACGTTTCTTTCTGAAAAGCCTCTTGTTACTTCTGGAAAGTTTTGTCTGAGAATTTCACTGACATGTTTGTACGTTTTATTGTCTTCAATGAGATTCCTTATTAAAGTAACATTGCTTTCCATATATTCCGCCATATTTGTCTCTTGACTAGTGGGTCACTCAATGCAAGCAAAACAAATGGCGCCAAACGGTTGACATCTGTCAATCAGTAGGATTTGAAACGGCTTTCAAATATAATTTGAAAACGCCATTTGTTTTTAAGGTTCCTTTTTCGCACTTACGAGAACATCGCTTCCAACGGCAAAAAAGGTACCTTTTTCGCGCTTTTGAAGAGATCGCTTCAAACTGAAAAAAAGGTACCTTTTTCGCGCTTTAAAGTTTCGTTTGGTAAAGTGAGAAATGGATGAAAAGCGGACCATATTGACGTTAAAATATTTTCACCCGAAAGCTTAAAATACCCACCTTTTTTTTCTAAAAAGGTACCTTTTTTTAACTTTTCACCTGATCGACTAGCATTAACAAAAAAGGTACCAATTTTGCATGTTGTTCTATGAAAAATAAATGCAAAAAGTTAATTTTTCTCCTCTTTTCAAGTAGCAGAGTTGATCTTTTTGTAAAAAAGCAGAATTGCCGGAACCTTTTACTGATTATTTAGGACACGTCCCCATCTTTTAGTTCCAACCTAACTTCCATATTTTCAAGTAACTGGATGGGTGACTTGTTTTCATGAGCGTCGCCATTTTCGTATCGTAAGGTCCCTTCTAACCCTTTGCCCTCAGCCACTTTTAAGGAAAAAGCCGCATTTTGGACCAAATCCTTCTTTTTAAACCGTTTTTTCGGCCAGTTAGCTTGCATGGGAATAGCTAGAAAAGAGATTTCCAACACTCAGGACTCAAATTTCCACTAACTGGATGAAATTAAGCGGCTTTTTGTTTTTCGGGCATGCGCATAAGCCAAATTTCGTTTTTCATTTGCGAATCTATTTCGATATTTTTTTCTCGCTCTCTTCTTTTTCCTTTTGCCTTTCTTTTTATAGCCAGTTTTGTTGCCCAGTTTATCATCTCTCTTTCGCATGAAATTTTGGTTGGGTTTCTTTCCAAAAAAGGAAGAAATTTAATGTGTAAAAAGTAGTAGGTAAACAGCAAAATTGGTGGTGAATATTCCGCAAATGTTGCTTGTTTTTTGTCTGTTAACTGTCCGAATTAGTCAAACGTACTAAATGAGGTACCTTTGGACAGGTCTATCCTCGCTAATTTTGTTAATTACCATTGTTAAAGCTTTTTAATGGAAATGTGAATAGGTCCAGGAAGAAAAATATGCATGGGTCCATATGGACCTAAAATGGCAAAAGTGGACGACACAGAGTTTTAACCCGCGTGGAGTTTCAGGAGATATCCATCACCTTGCAACTTTAGTTGAGTGCTCTCTCTAAAGTTTCCAAGTGCTTCACATCTCATATGTATTATAAATGGCCTGCGTGGCAGGCGCAAAAAGCGAAGGGGGATGGGGAAGAGAGACAAGTGCGAAAGCGGAGAAAAGGGAAGGGAGCGCCCGCTATAAGAGCCGAAGTTTTTGTATACCGCCCACTATTTTCTCAACTAATCCGATAACGTCAACTGACAATACGTGACCAATCACAAATAGTGGGGCTTCTTAGCGTGGTCCCAACTTAATTACTTTGTTTACCGGGAATTGTCAAGTCGAGACGCCTTTTTTCAACTAGAAAAAATTTTACTGTTCTTGCTTCCGCAGCAAATACGACCAACATAGACGTTTTTTTACTGCTCGCAGTTTTCGACAAACAATGACCATCTTGACAAAGCTCACAAAGAACAAAACAGTCGCCAGCCTGAGACTCGAATAATGAAAGGCGAATTATTAACAATTTTCAAAAAGTTCAAGGAATAGCTTTTACCAAAGCTTCAGCTCTCTCTTTATAAACCATTTAGAAGCTCAGTCCAACAAGACCGTATATGTTTTTGCGGAAAAGGCGGTCTTGTGAATGCCTTCATCATGTTTGTCTCTCACCAATTCACGCCAGCTAGGATACACGCCAATAAGTTACTTATTAAGGCTCAGTCAATCAGGAATTTGCGGACGCCAGTGTCCGCAGAAATGAACAAAAGGGGGTTCTTATAGCAGGTGTCCCTTACCCTCTCTTCCAAATCCCCGTCCCTTTTTCCCTTCCTCCCTATCCCATACCCGGTTCGACGCCCTCTACGCAGGCTAGTTATAAATATCTATCATATATATCATCTGTATCCTTGATATATACATCTATGTACATGGTAGCTAAATTTCCATTGAAAAAAAAATCCAAAGCAGCTTTGCTACGCTAACTTCAGTTCGTTGCTCATTTGTGTTAAAGAAATACGCTTCTGTACCGTTCAGCGATCTCCTTGCATTTCATTTGAGCCGTATCATCTGGGCATTTTCTTCGCTATTGCTCAAATTTTTCGCGACCTCGAAACTAACGAAAAACGGAAATATGGAATATGTACCCGATGTATCCTTTGTTGTGACTTTAAAAACATTCATGAAGAGGAATAAAATGTTTACACATGGCACAAGCGCACTGTACTCAGAAATGCAATGACTCTGTAGTTGTTCCTAGACATGCTGCTTTCTTCGGTGCCAGTAAATGTAAGTGGGGGAGCAAAAGTTGGGAGCAAAAAAAAATAATAAATAGCTCATAAATAAATTGCCCGGGAAGCTGTTATTTCTCAAATATGAAAGGACACCGTAAGTGAAAGGGGAACGGAAAAAAAAAGCAAATCATGCGTACGTAAGCAAGTAATAGATTAAACGAGAATGTTTTCCTTAAACGAGTACATGTATGTTGTAATGCATGATGAAAAATCTTCTTATATAAGCCATGGCCCTTGGTATAAAAATGCGCGAAACTGTTGTTTCTCAAACATGATGTGCTATCCAGCTTTTATATGGGTATGAAACCTCCTGTGACTTAAAGTCACTAAGTCGTGATGTAATTATGCACGTTCTATTTCCTGCCGTTTTTATTGTCTGACAATTGTGAAAGTTCCCATTAACTGATTCTTGGCGCGCAAATTGTGCAGACACGTGCCCAGAAATTCGTCTTCAAACTACTACTTCAGTTGCAATTGTAGCAATTGATGGGGTTTTTTAAGTATTTAAATCGGGAAATCGAAAGAAAATTAATAGAAACGAACTTTCAGGCCGTCTGTTGCTTTAAAATGAAAATGCCATGTGATGTAGTTGACAGAAAATTTCTCGAAGCCAGGAGAGAGGGTGGTACATTATTTTTTCAACGACAAATGTAAAGCGGATTATTGCTTTTATCTTTTCTAACTGGGCCCTGTAACATTTGGTGAGCAACTCTCACTTGAAAAAAAAAAAAAAAAAAAAGCACAGGCTGAGTGAAAAGAAAATACTTTTTTAAATCAAATACCTCGATTTGGGTTTCAATAGTGGATTAGGCACTTTTACCTACGAAACTTGTGCCTTGAGAAGCCGAGGTCATGCAGCTTTGTTTGTTATACCAGAGCTACATGTGCATGTATTCTTTAATGCTTTGGATTTGACATTTTATTTTAAGAATAATAATTCTAAGGAAGGCATGATGTAGCTGCTTGTGAGGGTTGGTCTCACTCCGCTTTTCAAAAACACGGGAATTCCGAAGTTAAAAAGTCAAATAGGTTAGCTGCTGTCAGTAATCTTGGGAAACCATCTTAGTAAACCTCTTAGGGAGTAGATATTTACTTGAACGAGTTTAAAAGGTTAGGATTTTGTTTTGTGATTGGTGGATTTCGATCTGTTTTGTGTGTTTCTGTTTCGTTCGTTGTGACCGTAATGTTTGACAGCAGCGAAAACACAAATAGAACCTGGCTTTTAAGAGCCGTTGTCAGTAAATATCGAGAATCCGGCGCCAGATCAAAAAATTCGAATTTTTTTTTCAATTCACCAAAAAACAATATTCAAAAGTTCCAGCTTAGCTCGGTTTTTGCGAAAACTTTGAAAGTTTAAAATCGGCCTAAACCTGGTCGAAGGCCTGAAGGAACTTACGCAAATTAGGGCATTTTAAAACGCTCGTACGAAAAAACGAAAGGTAATCTATAGCTCATCTTTACAAAGTTTGTTGCACATTTCTTAAAGTTACTTTCAAGCTATACTTTATCTTGATCTAGGCTTTCTTTCTCTTTTTAAACCCGTGCAAAGAAAGTAATGTTTCGTGCTTTGTTGACACAGTGAATTCTACCATATTTCGAATGTTATAGCATCAAGGGTATATATATTTAGCGGCTGTGAAAGGGTTCTTTTAAATGAACCATTCTTCCTGTTTGTCATACTAAAAGCTTGTTTTTGATTCCCCAAAAGCGAGCGCGCTAGACGAAAATGAATCAAGTAAACTTTTACGATTTTTTCGTTCTTAATGTATTAAGCTAACATTGATAGTAGTAACACATTCTCCTCATCAAGAACCTTGCTGTTGTTTGTAAAACCACTTTTTGTTAATTAAAATTGATATATTTTACCTAAGGAACATTTTACAAAGCATTCCATCTTTATTACATACGTTTTGGCGTCCTGGTGAAGTGTTCTGGTAAATTCTAGATAAGGCGTGACAAACTTATGCAACAACGGGTAGTAAAAATTTTCGGCTCCTGCTGCATGCCGACTGTCGCGACTGTCGGTCCTGCTTAAGCCCACATTCTGCTTTTCTGCTTCCAGACCATCAAAAAAAAAAAAAAAAACATAGAAAGGTAAAAATAACCATCTGCGGATTACTTTATTTGGAAAAATTCAAGTAGTCACTGAAACTTGACTGGACAAAAAAGATGTTCATACTGTTGGGCAGTTGCACTTAGCAGATAAGCTCTGATTTACGATCTAATCACTTCTTCATTTAATTCAAGGGAAAAGTACTTACTTGTTTGCAAACCAAAAATTTAAAGCGAACCACAACACATTCGATGAGTTAAAAACCTGTCATGCTGGCAACCAGCGACGCGATGTTGCGTGACAATTATCATGAAATTGAAATGCGATACACTTGTTTGGAAGACGTACCCCAAAAAGCATCCTAAAAGAGACGGCCAAATACGGGCTGTGTTTTTTTTCCGCTGTGGTTACCATTACCAACATTTCAGCTTTGGAACTGTCTCTTGAAGATCTTGAGAATCGCTCATCCTGGTTTGCCTCAAATTATTTGTCCGTCAATGCCAAGAAAACCCAAGCGATGATCCTGGTAAGCACTCCCATGAACCTGCTCTTCATATTGGCGACTCTGTTATCGGAATAAAATTAATGGCTTCCTGAATATTCTTGGTGTTCATATCGACGATAAGTTGTCCTTTAACGACCACCCATTAACTTTTAAAGAAGGTCTATGCCAAGGTTGGGGCTGTGAGACGACTTAGAAAGCTGGTGCCTGCTGACATCGCACTTATGCTGTACAAGGCTTATATACTTCCACACCTTGAATATTGTAGGCCATTACCATTAGGGATTAACAAAACTTTGAACAAGAAACTTGAATCTGCAAACTATCAGTATGAAATTTAAACCCATGAAAATCCAGTGAAATTTTTCATGGTAAATTCACATGTTTTTCATAGGTTTTTCGGGAGATTTTGATGGCGAATTTTCATGGGTTTTTCACGGAAAAATACCATGAATATGGCATAAAAATCTCATGAAAAAAAGCACGGAAATCCCCTAATATTCAACGCTTCAGGGCCCATGAAAAAACTCTAACAAACAAAAACCCACAAAAGTGAAGCCAACCATGTTTTTTTTTTTCATGGTTTTTAATAATAATGAAAAAGCCATGAATTGAAAAGCTATTTTTCATGGTGTCAGAATTTACATGTATGGGGTTTTCATGGGGGTTTTTAAATTCACGAGTTTTCCGTGAACGGTTGAATATTAATGGTTCATGAAAAATGACATGGCTTTTGATGACATTTTTTTAACATTACCCATGAATTATGCCCCATGGCTTATTTTTCATGGGAAAGACAGAGGACATTTCAAGGCCACCATGAAAATTTAGTCTTAAACTATTCTCGATTGTTAAATCAAATACTTCACGGAGGATTTGTTGGCTGGTTAATTTGAAGCTATATACATGTAGCAACAACCCTAACCCTAAATAAAAGCTAACCGTTTTTGGAGTCAGTGCTTAACCCTAATTACTAATCTCTGGGCTTATTAAAAAAAAAAAAAAAACTCAGTCTGCAGTCTGCATGGTCTGCGTTTTAACATGACTGCACTTTAGTATGGTGTACGACAGTGTAAATCAGGCCATTAATGACAAAAAAAATGTCATTGCAATACAAAATTCATCTGGAATACATGTACATACAAGTAGTACTGTATCTCCTTTCCAGGCTGCAATCATGATGTTCCAAATTTCACCATTGAAAATGGACAACAAATTTCAAGGGTTCCATCCTATTTAGTTTGGACAAGCTTCAATGAAATAAAAAAAGCTTATTTTCAAGGCCAATACAGATGTTTATTTAGCTAATAGCAAATGAACAGTACAAGACAAATCATTTAAGTGAAAACTAAAGTTGTTGCGTTACAATAATCTTATCTTTGGTCACTGTTGTTGCCTCAGCCATCGGATCCATCTTGTAAGTACAATTGAAATGCAGCAACATCTAAACAAAATTAACAGCAGAATACATGTCAAGATTTCATGTAGAATATTTGATCCATCCTTAAATAATAAAACAACAGTTTTAATGATGCAAACCACACAAAAGGATATTATTTTTAAAATAATCGATTCATTAATTAAATATATGGATAAGCAGGCTTTTTTAGAAGTCAAGCTGGCTTTTTTGCTCTACTGCATCTCTAAAATTCTCCTATGTCCTTGTTTTGGTTTGCAAATTCAGCTGGTGGTAAGCTCTTTTTCAGCTGGTTGAACTAGCCGGCAGCCGGCTCTTAGCGACATCCCTGCTAGCCGGTGTACAGACCCTCCCCCCCTCCCCTTAGTAAAAATCGGAGAAGGGACGTCTAGGATTCACTGTCACTAATCGTGTATGGGAATAACTTTGCATAAATTAAAAAAATAGTTTCTGCTGACCAAAATAATTTCCATGGCTCATGTTTCATGTCATTCCAGTTCTCAAAATGTCAGTGCATGCGTCTTATTTCCATCAACTAACTGAGAGAGGGAGACATTTTTAAAATAGGTTTACTCTACACCGAGCAAGAAAAATGTTCTTACAAGCCCATATTAAAGGAAAAGATTCATGTTCTTATGCAAGCCTTCGCACTGGATACGGAAAGTCATCAGTTTGAAATAAAGTGTTGACAAGTCAGACATGACTCATGAGCTCATCAAAGTGTGAAACGTGACCTTAGCACTATTATTTTACTTGAGCAACAAAAATTTTCCTTCTTTTCTTTCTAGCGCGTAGTGCTTTCTAGTGCATGGACTACCATAAACTTTGACTGAACAAGTTTTATTTTTGCCTTTGATTCTTGTAGAAGCTGGTATATGTCTCATGCATATTAAATTATTATTTCCTGTGGTTTTGTGTTATTGTTTCTGTACGTGTTTGTGAAAGAATTTGATCTCAGATGCTGTATATATTAGAACCGGTTTTTCTTTGACCTCTTTGAAGCCTAAAGCTTTTTAGTACGGCTAAAGAACCTTTCAATAAAGATTTCAGTTTCTTTTCCTTTCTCCGAAATCCCTGGATTTGAAAAACTACATGCGTGTAGTTGTCTGTAAAGGTAATAATTTTCTGGTTACCTGCTACGTTTTGATGACGGGCCCTAAAGCCAATCAAAATCCCTCAATTACATGATGTACACACTGTAGTGATCTACAAAAACAGCCAATCAAATCATTTTCCACATATTCTCCCGGACAGGAAAAATCATGTGGCCTCCATACACGATTAGCAATGGCGAATCACAGACGCCCCTTCTCCGAATTTCACTGAGGAGAGGGGGCGCTTGTACACAGGCTATATCCCTGCTTACCCTGGCACGATTGTAAACAATCTGTTTTAATACATACATGTAATATTTAACTACTGTTTTACTGTTGTCAGGTTTGTTGAAATGAATTTTGAACAGTTCCATCAGCAGAGCCAACCATTTATAGCACACTGTAGTTCAACTTTTCTACCCTAGCTAAGCCAGCTACAGTAATGCAGACAAAGATCAACTTCTTCCCCTATTAAAAAAATCCCCTACTTTGACGGAAAATAATATGCTCTAGTGCTTAATGATCAGAACAACGGAGTAACTGGAGCAGTTGGAATTGACTGATGCATAACAATTTCAAGGTTAGAATAGTGAGACTTTTTGTGTCAAACACAACTTTCATTTTGGTCACATGCACATCCGGTGTCTAAACAATACTTCTTTCATTTCTGTTCTAATCAAGGTTATGACCCAGACGACGATCGAATAGTATCCCATGATGCACTTTGTTTCATGTTATATTATCACTGCATACGTGACATATCATGATCAGTAATCTTCAGCATCCAAAAATGAACATCGGGGTGCTCGATGTGGATGGTTTCCAAACATGTTTCGGTTCAGTAGCTTCTGCTATTGAGATTTTCGAATTGACTTATATTCACTATGCTTTAAAGGAGAATTTCAGCGCTACTTTGACTCAGAAGGGTTTTACATGTGTTTCACTGATCTGTCGAGAACTACTTGTGTGCTCGGTCGCACTGTAAACACAAAGTGACTCGGCAACTGTTAAGCTTCGCTAGGTTCACTAGGAGAACCCAGGCCTGAGGAGAACCAAAACCATGACTGATCTAAAAAGTGGTTCCAACAAAACAGCCGCTACGCTGTGAAGCTAATTACCAAAGGAGGATTTATTACAGCATCGCACTCACAGAAGCTCAGTTTACAACAACAGTTACAAATAAAATTTAACCTATCGATACAACAAACAATTCTCTGAAGCACAATCTACCCGGTACGGACTCAAGCAATCTTCAAGGAAATTTCCTGGCCAGAATGCTGATCTGTTCTTTTGAATAAATAAAGTTTCTGATGTTTCTTTTTCAAATTCTGAGCAGGCCTGTTTACGTTGTGCCGGCTTGCATGCTGCGTGGCACCTTTCTTTGGGTTCCTATCACACTGAAACACACCATTTATAGTCACTGCTCCTTCTTCGAATTAAAATAATTGTAGTCACATTCCTTTTAAAAATAACCACTTTGAAAATACAAAGTGATTGCTTCAGCATAAAGCCCTCTCGAAAGCGCCCAACAGATTGTAGCCTTCAGCTGACTTTACCCATTATATTATCTCACATGGCGTTGAAATGTGATAAAAGATTTGAAATTTCAGCCATCTTTGGTCGATAAAAAAGTCTTCAAAATGTGGGTACTTCTGGGTACTTCTCAGCCTGTACAATATTCATGACTTCATTTTGCCGGCGTGAGGTATATTCCGAAAAATCTTGAACATTCATGACCTTGTTGTGGGTCACTGAACACTTTGTGATGGGAAGACTAATTGAAACCATGAAAATAAATGTTTCCATGTGCAAGCTTCCCTCTCAAGCCACTGAAAATCGACAAATAACGAAATAATGCAATTTTCTTACTTTTACTGGAAATCGAATGAGAAAAACGACCTTATTTCACGATGGAATCTGCCATGACTGCGATATTGCGTGATGTTTCTGGAGAAATGCATCATGGGATACTATTCGATCGTCGTCTGGTTATGACCCTTGTACGGCTTTTCCCAGAGTGAATCCTTTCGTCGAAGAAACTGGTTTGTCGCTTGAAAAAAAAAAATATCGTCATGCCCATCAAACATCATTTCGGTAAAAGTGAATGGCTAAAAATAAACTTAACATAGACCATGCACAGCTTCTGTCAGATTGTGTTCCGCTTCTTACATCATGATCAACTGTAATCGCGGCTCTGTCTGACTGTGCCCCAGCACACAACAACGAAACTATGATTATTTCGCTTCAGTAGAAAGTAATCTACAATAAACAAGCACTACCTAGGAAAAACAAAACTCACCTAAAATCGCTTCCCCAGTGCGTTTCCCGAATCCAGCCGATGATCTGATATCAACGGTGCGAAGTTTTCGTTACATGTTACACAAAAAAGAGAAGCGATCGATTATGCTTCCTCACAGTCGCGCAACAAGTGATGTTTCTTAAACTTTTGCGCTAAAGGTTTAAACATGACTGTTTTGAATTCACAGATTCTTCCTAAAATTACAATCACAGCTAACAGCCGTTAGTTTCACTTTGAACCGCCCTCAAACCGGTTTGCCTTGCGACCGCGCCGACCGGGCCTGTAATTCGAACATCACTGCTGACCATTTTTACAGCGTGAGCACTGAAAAACCAATCGAGATTTTCAACTTGAAGGCGAGTTTTTGGGGAATTTACGGTGCTGTAATAGTTTTACAGGGAACAAGATCGTCAGCTACATCAAACCGGAAGATGGACCAGTCTTTACAGTGGACAGTGAGGTACGATATGTAGCGAAGCATTGTCACAGATTAAAGCTAACAAGATACTCATGTACGTACTGCATGTGTAATATTTCCGTACAACCATATTCAGATCATAGCTTACATGTAAGCTTAAGTCTTATGTTTCGATTCCCTTCACATCAACTATTTGTGTGAAATAGTATGAAATGGCTGTTGCAAGCATAATGTATGAGTGGGGCCGTTGCCCGGCCGTACAGAAATCCTAATTATCAAACTGGAACCTGACAGCGGCAAAGCTTTTCTTTTGATCACAAGAAACCTGAAGAAAAGTAAGCTTACGTTTTATTCTTGTGTTTATTCTTGTGCTTCTGTTAAGGCCGTCCTCACCATCGTATAATCTCTTATGCTTATGCTTGCATCGCAAAAACTGCACTTGCATGTACATTTTATTACACACGGTATTAATTTAGTTCTGTTCTGGTTGGTAAATATACAGTTTCATTGGAGAGTGGCTTATAAAATGGTTTGGCTCATGGTAGTGAAGATGAGTGGACTGGTTTATATGTGCGAGTACTAAAAGAGACATTGATCACAACATTCAGTATTTTCAATATGGCATTAGTCCATTGCAATGTATTATTGATACCAAAATTTAACTCTCCATTTTTTTTTATTTATTTGACTGTTTTGTACAGCAATAACCACAATATGCATTTTCTTGATTACTATTATTATTATCATATGTCAAGAAGCAATGAGTTTATGTAGTTACAATTTATACAAAAGCACTGGCTCATATACAGCTGTTTCGAGAAAGGTTGTCGGAAAAAGTGCATGCGACAATCCCGAAAGGTATTGTGGGTGGTTTTTAGTTCACTGTTTTTAAAAGAAATTTCAAAGAATGGCAGGAGGGGCCATGGACATATGTTTGCGAGTGCTAAAGGAAAGCAACAAAAGTAGGTTCGACAGCTACAGTGTCAGGAACAAGTCATTGATCATATCCCTTATTACCTTTCGCCATTGTCGCGTGCACAGTTTTTGCGACAACCTTTCTCGAAATAGCTGTATACAACTGTCCATGTGTTGACCTTTTCCCTTTTTTTTTCTTCTCTTTTGCAAAAGTTATGATTAATCATTATTAATCATTAGTCTAACAGAACTTCATGTCCTCTAATTCAGTCAGTAATCATACAGTGTTGTGCAGCTGTACTCTTGATTAAACAAATTGGACTACCGCTACACAGTTGTCTGATTTTGTTAAACACCTGTACATGTATGATTGCAGACTGAATTGGACTGCACTCAGTCTTACTGAAATAGTGAACCTACGTCTTATTTGCAGAACCTCCAATTTTGAGCAAATTTTCAGTTGCTAATTGTGATATTAATCATTTTTTGACAGGTTCAGTTTTCAAATAGAAGGGAGATTTACTACCAAGGTTCAAGCAGTGCTATGGGAGGCAACAAATGCAGCTAAGAATTTACACATTTTAGCCTGTAAACTGGATTTACTTAACCTTCAACACTGCATTGTATATATATATATATATATATATATATTTTTATAAATGTCTTGCTAGCCTCCTAAGTGTATGTTTTCAACAAGTACATGACTGTATTTCTACATGTTAAAATGGACTGTTAAAATTCACAATACTACCATAAACCAGGGGTTTCAATAAAAATTGAAGTAGCCAGCAGGTTTGAAAAAAGTAACTGACTGTATCGAAAAGAGGCTTTTATTATTCCCCTTCTTCTAGAGGGGTCTGGGAGCATGCACCCCTTGAAAATTTCGACATTTCAATGCCCTAAAATGCAATTTCCAAATTTCTGGGCACCAAATTGAGTACAAAAGATAATTTTATTTTCGATCAATTTGGACACGTAATGCACATTAAGTCCCAAATTTTTCTTAATTATTTTAAATCTGAAGCAAAAAGTCTGTCTAGGTCCAGCAAATTGAATTTTATTATAAGTTTTTACAGAATCTTTCTTTAATTCAGTACTTTATTTCCAGCTTTCAATTTAAGGGGAAAAAGTAGCCGACGTGTCTTGTCGGTCGTTGGTGCTTATTGAAACCCCTGATAAACTATTAATAATGTTTACAATGTACAGTAGTCACTGTTGTTGGTAAATTTTGGTTACCTTTTTTCAATAAAATAGCATTGTTGGCCTTTGAAGATGCCTCTTTATTGAAACATTTTTTGTAACTGTCCTTCTGTACTTTAGAAAATAATGTAGCATGCACTTTTCAACCCAGGCAAGCTCTTGCCTCTTTATCATGATATCCAGGAATAAGTATACACATCTGAATAGTATTGTACATTGCATGTTTAAGAAACGATCCAGATAAGAACGATAGCAACAACGGCAACGAACATGTTGGAATGTAAAAAAGGTGCTAACTTTTCTATCGTCTGTACTTACTCCTGACTGGCTTAAACAACAAAAGTTAACAAAACTTCATAAAGCAGTACATATATTCATCCTTACTTTCCAACTATCTTCCATATAACAAAATCTGGTCTCAGTTTGAATAACAAAGAAATCCTATGTGGGGAACATGTAAAATTGTAAACTTTTCTTGGCTATTGTTTTCAACTCTTGTGATTGGCCAAAATCTTTTAACACAAAAAAACACCCTTTCAAAGTGGAGTGTAAATGCATTTTATTGCATAAACGGTAAAAATGAGAACATTCCTATGTGGAGTAAGCACCGTTGCTGCATAACAAAAGAAATTGCTATCCACCTTACCTGGATCATTACTTAAAGGGTCAGGTTCACGGTTAAGCGCATGCTCATTAATTAAATTACTTTTATTATTAATTATATTGGTTAATGATCCCACTCACATGTATCTCAGAGATCTCAGAGTGTATTTCAAAGTAGAATTGTATTTCAGAGTAACCTGAAGTAGGATGGAGGAGTACAAAAATCGCAGAAAAAATTTATTATGAATTATGCCAACATTACCAACGTTGAGTTTATTGTTGATCCGAAGGTTTTATTCCATGGTTGATTAATTTACAGCTATTTGCAAATATTGAAGTTGATCAAAAATGCAAGTGACTGCCAGGAGAGTGTGCAGATTGGTTCTTTGACAACATTATGACATGATCATATTGCTTGCATAGACGATACAGCATGTCCCGGCAGAAAAACAGCATTTTGATAAATAAGCATGCACTGAACCGTAAACCTGTCCCTTTAATTCATGTTGAGTAGCACATACAGTACAGTCAACTTTCTTTTAACAGGTACTTGGAGCCTGTTCGTATATGTGTCTGTCTTAATCTTTAACTATTCGTACAATAGACAAAAACTTAGATGCCGTGCTAGCTGGTCCCAGAGTGGATCTCTCTTGTTGAAAGTTGACTGTAAATAGTGCAGTCCAAAGTACTAGTTTCGTTAGGGTATAGCTTATTCTAGTACAACCCGAAATGTACTAATTCATTTACTGAATACATGTACATTTTGTATATATTGTGGAATGCAGTGTTCTTGCTGCAAAGTCATCAAATATTTATTCAAGGCATTAATTCACAGTGGAACTGCTTTCCTCATCAGCATTTTCATGGGAAATTAATGAGACATGAAATCATTCATACATTTTTCATGACTCACAAATCAAATTCAATATTTATTTCATGACCCATTAAACGTTTTTCATGGCTCCATCATTGAACTTTCTAGGTATGTTTCCATAATGTGGTGTTTCATTGGAAATTCATAACCCATGAAAGTCGTCCAATTTAATTCATGGGCCATGAAACACCTTTAATTCTTTTTTCCACGAAAATTTAATGGCCACAGATGAGGTCATGAAAAGTTATTTTGCAAGATTCATTAGCCGTGAAATGATGTTCATGATATTTTCAAGTGAGTTTCATGGGATTTTCACAAATCTCAGTTTCATAGTAATATTAAGCTTTAAAAGCCCTCTTAAATTTCGGAAACAGCTTTGATTATGATTCCTTGTTGTCGCTATAAACATGCAATCACTGGAACATGGACGGTACTATCAATCTCTTATCTTCCTTTTTAAATGTATAAAACGAAATAGGGCTGACTATATTCCTGATTTATTCGAACCTCGTATATTGCGCTACAATGAATGATTTTCCAGTAATCGGACACTTAGTTATGCGCACAGGATTATGGGATCGCCAGGGGGCAAACATTACAAGTCGCTACAAAGAAATGGAATCCGGAAGTTTCGTACCCACGGACGTTTCGTACCCAGACGATTCGTACCCAAAGTTGAGATGATTCGTACCCAACTCTAAGATGATTCGTACCCAAAGCTTAGTTGATTCGTAACCAACTGCCGTTTTGATAGTAACACATTTTTAATCATATCTCTCTCAAAACAATCTAAAATAAACATTTATATAAATCAGAACGACTCGTTACCTACGCCCGAGTTAGATCAAATTATAACCACCGCTCACTTTCATTTGCGTAGACTCGTGACGCGTGAGCGGCGCAGATACTAAAGGAGGTGAGACTCTTCATTAACATACAACTCAAAAGGAAATGGTACTTACACGAAATTAGCTTGTTCCCACTTTTCACGGCTGGGTCCAATTTATATGTCGATGTCTGAACTTGTCGAATCATAAACTTTTGTTAGTTCATGCGCTTTCACGCGATCCATTTTGTTAACTCGTTCGCTCTCACACGAGTTAGATGAAATTAACCACCGCTCACTTTCTTTGTGTAGACTCGTGACGCGTGAGCGGCGCCGGTACTGGAGGAGGTGAGACTTCAGATTAGTGAAAGCCTTAACTTAAACTATGAAAACACACTGTTTACAACATGAAGACTTGGTTATTGCATGGGTATGAATCATCTAAGCTTTGGGTACGAAACATCTAGGCCTTGGGTACGAATCATCTTAGCGTTGGGTACGAATCATCTTAGCGTTGGGTACGAATCATCTCAACTTTGGGTACGAATCGTCTGGGTACGAAACGTCCGTGGGTACGAAACGTCCGGTAAGCAAAGAAATGTATGGCGTGGAGCTGTTTCTCCGTTAGAAGCAGTGTCTTTGGACAGAGAATGCAACATTTTGCCATGATTTTATGAGAAGCGGAGGTGACCAATGTTGGTGCGAAGAAATTGTAAGTCTTTGTGGGATCAATGCGATGAAATCTATCGATAAACACTGATTCTTGCGAAAGGTCGACTGTGAATTTACTAAATGGTCTCGAAATATATAGTACTAACTTAGGTATAAATGAGCGGGGATTGCGGACTCATTTAAGCCTTTCCAGTTAATACCCATGTGCTCATATTTACAACAAGTGTAATTACGCTCCGCTCGGCGGCAATCACAATGCTGTGCCGGTTTGTGACAACGATCAAAGGTAAGCTTATGTATTGTCGAATTTGATATGTATTAAATTTAAAACAAAAACATCTTCCGCACATTAGTATATTGATTTCTTCTGGCCAAAAAAACACAAGCGAATTGTTTTGTCATGATCCAGAGCACCGATGACTTCTAATGCCTTTTCCAATTATTTTGAGGGAAGATATAGAATCTCTGAATTTCGCACATCAACTTGGTATTTATTTTCAAACTCACCGCCTTTGTATCGGAAATCTTACTCGTTCTTACGATTTCTGCCTCATCTACTAATGATTAAATACCATGTACTTTCCATGAAATATTTTGTAGATGTCACTTTGTTTATACCAAAGTAAAGGAGGATTTTTTATTTTTATGGCCACGTACATACCTACGATTGTTGTCTAGTCATAACCCGCAAAGCGCCGCACAGCCGGCAGGACTTTTCCGCGGGTGGCGGGTGACGGGTGACGGGTGGCGGGTGACGGGTAGCGGGTGGAGGATGAGGGGTAGCGGGTGACGGGTGGCGGGTGGCGGGTAGCGGGTGACGGGTGGCGGTTGGCGGGTTAAAAATATATACGAAAATAAAATATTATAACAAAATATTATTATTGATAATGATATAACTGTATGTTGTAATTTTGAAATTATTTCAACGTTTACGTACTAGTTACCAGACTCCAAATAAAAGTATTGTCTTGTTTTGTTTTATCTACTTTAATACACGGACTAAAAATGGAAAAAAAAACGAGAAATCATGCCTGTGAAAGATGATTGCACTTCCCCAACTGTTTAGCCGTGTTTATAACAGACTGCAAGAGATTCGGCCTCCCGTGTCGTAGCTCAGTTTTTGCCCTAGTATGCGGAATGATTGCCATCCTAATCGGTATTTTTGAGTAGTATTTAAAATAATGCAGATCCTTTTTGTATATATATACAAGGAGATCAATTCGCGTCTCAGACGCCACATGCGGCGAAAACGGTCCATGCTGTGTCCAAAACGTTCTTGCTCCTTCTCTGGTACGCATTAACATTGACAGCTTTGTTGCTTTAGTCTTAGGAAAATTTCCTTGTTTTCTCGAAATAGACACTTTGTTCATTTTAAACTACAAGTCGGGAACCAAATTGACAAAGATTTATCCCACGGGCAATGCGATGTTTATCCCAACTTATAACAAAAGAACAAACGCACTTGTCAAAAATCCGAGACACTGTTCAAACATGTCGAGAAGAGAATGCGATCTTACTTGTCTGGTGGCAGGAAAAATATTACTTTAATTTTTATGAGTTCCTCAAGCTATCTCGTGCATGCGATATCGTGTAGAATAATAGAATCTCTTGCAGTCTGTTATAAACACGGCTAAACAGTTGGGGAAGTGAAATCATCTTTCGTCTTGATGTGGAAGAAAAAGCAAACTAGACAAACAAGATCGAAAAGGCAATGTGTCTTGCTTGACATAGCCCGTTTTCATTTGACACACCGCGTGTAGCCTGACGAAACGTCACTTGCGGTGCGGAGCAAGGAGAGGTGACTGTTTTCACAGGCATGATTTCTTTTTAGTCCGCGTAAGTAGATAAAACAAAACAAGACAATACTTTTATTTGGAGTCTGGTAGCTAGTACATAAACGTTGAAATTATTTTAAAATTACAACATACAGTTATATCATTATCAATAATAATATTTTATTATAATATTTTATTTTCATATATATTTTAAACCCGCCACCCGCCACCCGTCACCCGCTACCCCTCACCCGCCACCCGCCACCCGCTACCCGTCACCCGCCACCCGTCACCCGCCACCCGCGGAAAAGTCCTGCCGCCGCACAGCGGTGATCGCGGCCGAGCGTAGTTACACTCGTCGTAAATATCACCACACGTAATTATAACTTAAACGCTTACATGAACCAATCCCCCTACATGTATACCAAAATTTGCACTATATATTTCGAGACCTTTTCTTCGAATTCTTCATGTCTGTGTAAATTCAGTAAACATAAATTTCACACTCAACCTCACGCAAGGAGTGTTTATCGATAGAATTTATCGCATTAATCACACAGAAACTTGAAATTTCAACGCACCAACATTAGTGACCTCCGTTTCTCATAAAAATCACGGCAAAATGCGGCATTCTATGTCCGAAGACACTGTTTTTAACGGAGAAACAACTCCACGCCATACATTTCTTTGTAGCGATTCACAATGTTTGCCCCCTGGCGATCCCAGAATCCGATTACTGGAAAATCATTCATTTAAGGAACAGAGATCACAATCTCACTCAAACATGCTATAATAATCGATACTATCACAATTCTTTTACTTGCAAAGCTTTGTATTTGAGGAATCAGCTTCCTTCTTACATTAAGAAATCGACTGAGTTGAGTGAATCTCGTAAGCATTTAGGTCTTTTAATCTTATGAACTTAAGAGCCAGTTGTAAATGCAATTTTGGTATATCTTAGGGTTTTTACTGTTTCTTAGACTGATTGATTGATTTTCTTAGGGTTTTAAACTTATTCTTATGGTTTTTGGTTTTTAATTAATTCAGTGGGATGCGGAAGGTTTAGCTTTGATCTTTTAAAATTATTTTCATTGAAATGTATTGTATTTTTAATAACTTAGTATTTTTATTGTCATACGTTTCATACATGAGCGTCTGGCTCGGATGATCGGGGCAGCCCCATCCCACGTATTGATGTAAATAATTTGACTGTATGATTGATTGATTGGTGACCCATCTTTTACGTTCGAGTCGTATGAGACTGAAACAATGAACAGGAACAGAAGGCTTTTACTGTCCTATCATGGTCACTCGGCATCCACAGCATCAAAAAAATAAGTACGCTCAAGTAAGAAAAGAAGCAAAAATTGAATACTGACAAAGATTCTCTTTTTTTAAACATGCAAATTATTTAAAATGATAACTCAAGGAGATTGTGTTAATTTTTTAGTGAGCGACGCAACCTCGTTCCTAGGGTCCTCTCCTACTCGGCCCCTCGTCTCTCTCTCTCTCTCTCGTCCGTAGCATGAGCTCTCAAGTCAGAAGGCATTTGTAATAGGCTGCAGTGATACTAGGTTGTGATCGGTATTTTTCCAAAACCCGGAGCACACCGGAACACGGCCCTGGAAAACCTGGAAATACACAGGTAAATTGAATAGAAGAAAGACACAGGGGCACACAGCAGGAAATTTTGAGGAAAAGACCGAAAAATAACACCAAAGCATGAATAAAGCTTTCTGAAGCCGTTTTAAGCATTTTGGGAGATTGCTGGCAAAGATTTTTCTGTTCCCCACTCCCGGCAAGACTAACGAAAGAGTTCCCAGCCAGCAAGGTGCATCTACAACCTACAACCTGACTTACTGGAAAGCAAGTAAGTCAGTTTGGGTGTGGTCATAGGGAAAATTCAACCCTTCAGTGTGGGAGGAGGGGCTGGATAGGGTAATTGGTGTGGCCTAAAGGCAAAACTCAACCATTCAGTGTGGAGAGGGGGTATGTTTCGGACAAAAGGCACATGCCAGCTATTCTGGACTTCAAATCTCCTACGACACCCAGAATTGTCCATTTCCCAGCAACACTTTCCTTTGAAGAACATATAAAGTTTTCCAAATCTCCTAGCCAGCAAAAAGTTGCCAGAAGAACAGATATTTCGAGGAACAGAAATTTTATCTAGAGGGGTTGGGGAGCCTGCTTCCACGGAAAATGGTAAAAGTTAGAATCACCCGGTTAATTTCTACCAATTCTGAGATTGATTTTGTCCAATTTTTATCACCAATCCGCTGGTTTTCTGCAAAAAAACGTACATGTAACAAAGGAAATTGTGTTTGCTTTTAACATAAAGATTAGAAGACTTATACAATAGGCAAAAAAATCGATGGAATTATTGGTGGGGATATAGCCCACTCAGCCCCAAAGCTTCTCGGTCACTGACCAAGATTGGTTACCACAGGTGTTGTAAATGTAAAGAAAAGCCATTTGAGAGGGAAAGATCCTTATGCTATGAATCCCTCTTACCCAGTACCAGGAGCCGATTAGTAATCGGCTCCTGCCAGACAGAAGTGCAAGTACAAAATCTTTTTTATGATAACTGTTGGGAAATAAGGTTCATGCTGTCAACCCAGGGAGCATCTCGGGCAGGTTTATTTTTTCAGCCCACTGTAGGTGCGTGAAATTGTTTTTGGACAGAGGACTTATGCAGGATTCTTTTCTTACCTATGTGCACTTCCAGGATATACAGTGTATTTTTCAAAATCACCCAGCCCCCTCACCCCACCACCGCTTCGCCGCCGGAGTATTCGGATCTGTATCGTAAGCCAGTCTTTGTTTACAATTGGTGATAACAGAGATTACGTGTAAATTAACTTTCCAAAGTTTGTCTCAGAAAGTTTAGTCAAACTTATTTTCTTGTCAAGGGACTGGTCATTATTTATCGGGAGGGGGGGGGGCTGGTGCAAATAGGGGGTGGGCCACCATTTTTTATGCATGGCTTAAAGGGGGGGGGATTAAAAAATATGCAAACGTTTTGCCAGCAAAAATGTTAAAAGCTGCATCTGGATGCCATCAACAAATACAGCCTGTTAAAATAGCTTTATACAACAACTTTTATTAACACTTACAAATCAGTATCTTACAACATTGATCTTATTTCTACTGTAAACATAACCAGCACAAATCATCATCATTGCTGTTGTCCTCAGCATTGTCGTCATCACATGCATTACCATTGTTGTCATCATCACCATTGTCATCATTGTCTGCATCATCATCACTATCATCGTTGTCTTTATCATCATCATTATTACTGTCATCGTCATGGGCATTATCTGGTTCTAGGTTAGTGTTTTCTTTTTTTGGAAAATTGTCTACATATTCACTAATAAAGTTTACAGCTTCAGTAAATACTTGTCTATCTTCATACATGAGTTGTAGATATTTTACTTGACACAATGATAATGTAGATAGAGCTTCCAATTTTAGGTTCTGGATTTGAATTACTTCAGATGCAGAAGCATTCGAAATAAACTCTCGCACTTTCTGTATGTTGGCAGCTTTTCTCGTAACTTTCCTTCTTTTGGCTTTCCTTCGGTTCTCTTTCTGAGAACGCTTTTTGGTTTTTGCATTCACATGGGGGGCATATTGGAACATATTTGATGTCTTCTCTAACTTTTCCTTAAGGCTTTCTTCTATTTCTATCACCCTTTCTTTAACATTTATAAGTTTGCCAATGCTCTGCTGACATAAAACATATCCCCAAGCCATATCCCGATGGCCAAAGACCTGGTCTCCATTATCTTGCTACGAAAGACACCCCAACTGTTGGCAGAAGTGCGGATGATTTCCACCCAAGGGTTCAGCTGAAGGCAATTTTCAGAGAAGATAACTCATTTTTTGATTATCCTGACAACATGACAGCAAAAATCATGTTAAAGTAAAAGGGGGGTCCGCAAAAATCAAGCATGGCATATTTTACATTGCACTAACCCCCCTCCCGATAAATAATGACCAGTCCCGAAGCGCTGCTGCAGTCTGAATTCGAATAGTATGTCGCAATAGAAACCAAACACTGAGTTTTCCTGGGTGAAAAAGTGTCAATCAACCAAGTAAGACAACAGCGAGCAAAAGGAGGTAAAATGGAGAAACCCGTCAAATCACACGTATACGTTTTCGTCTAGCGCGCTCGCTTTTGGCGGGCTAAAAAAGGCTTTTAGTATGACATACAGGAAGAATGGTTCTTTCAAAAGTTCCCTTTCACACCCGTTAAATATATGTACCCTTGATGCTATAACATTCTGAAATATGGTAAAATTCACTGTGTCAACAAAGCACGAAACATTACTCTCTTTGCGCGGGTGTGAAAAATAGAAAGAAAGCCTACATCAAGATAAAGTATAGCTTTAAAGTAACTTTAAGAAATGTGCAACAAACTTTGCAAAGATTAACTATAGATTAGCTTTCGTTTTCTCGTACGAGCGTCTTGAAACTGCCCTAATTTGCTTGATTCCTTCGGGCCTTCGACAAGGTTTAGGCCGATTTTAAACATTCCTGTTTTTCGCAAAAACGGAGCTTCGCTAGATCTTTTGAATATTGTTTTTGAAAATAGTTTATCAAAAGGGTTTTTTTGGTGAAATAAAAAAAATCGAATTTTTTGATCTGAGAACTGAGAACGGTTCTTAAATTTCTGCGTCCGCGTGTTATTGAAAAGCGCTAACTGTCTCCGAGAAACTTAACCTTATTATTAATTTATGCAAGTATCTCTCACAGATTACGACAATTCGTTTGAACAATTTTGTTTCATTTCTTTTGTTTGACAGGAACTAACACAACTGCATTTGCAGGATTTCGCGCCTGCAAATGTTTGAAAGATCATTACCGTACGAATTTGTTTGGAGCTTGTAAGCCATGTGAGCTAGGATTAGAATGTCAAGATGATTGCGCAAATCTTAAAGATGGCTTTTGGTGGAAATGGAAGAATAAGACACACCGTGAGCTGTACAGAAACTTCACAAAAACCGCAAAGGACTCCTCATTTACTCCTGAATTACACAACGCGAATGATTCCCGTATCGTATACCCGTACACCATTCCTCATCCGTACAGATGCCCCATGACAGAAGCTTGTAAGGGAGGTTTGAATTCTTCATGTAATTCTGGTTATGAAGGACCATTATGTGCAGTTTGCAGTGATGGATATTATAAACAACTGAAGAAATGCAAACTGTGCCCAACTAAAGGACGGATGATCGGACAGTTTGCAATTATGGGGGCAATAGTTATGTTACTGGTTATTATCGTGGTGTGGAGAAGCAAGAAAAAGAGCAAAAAGATGTTGGACGATCTTTTCTTGACAAGGCCCTTGGAAGTATTAAAGTTACAATTGGCTTTTATCAAGTGACTTTTGGTATCATGGAAGCGTTTTCATACATTAAGTGGCCTGAAAGTCTCTCAGTTATTGGAGGATATTCCGAGATTGTTCAGGTTGACATTGTTCAGATAGCTCCCGTCCACTGCATCATTCCCGGATTGAAATTTGACGCATTCGCAAGTCTTTTTGCAGTTATGGGATTGAATTTTGTAGCGGTGATTGTGGCCCTTGCAAGCTTCGCCTTTGCCACTTGGAAATCGACACGACATATTTTGAACGAAGAAGAAAAAATAAGGAAAAAGGAACAAATTAAAATGGTCGTAAAGAGAAATCTGTTTTTCTTTCTTTACGTGACCTACCTGAACACTTGCCTAAAACAGCCCAAGTTTTGCCCCTTGCCTGCCACAGGATCTGCGTTGACCAGGAGAAAGATGAAGGGTGCGAGCAATATTTGAAAGCCGACTACAGCATTAACTGTAAAGGGGAGAGATACAACCGATTAGTCTTCGTGGGATACTGTTCCACTGTGTATGTGATTGTTCTGCCTGTTGCTGCTTTTATAGCAATTTGGAAACAGCAAAGAGCAGAAAGGAAAGCTAAGGAGGAAGCAACAAACGACACAAATGTTCTTGAAGACCAAAGCACGGTGCAAACGGCATTACGGTTCTTACACGAGAACTACCACTCTCGTTGTTGGTATTGGGAAGCGGTGGAGACAGCTCGAAAGGTTATTTTGACCTCTGGATTGATCCTTCTTGGTGGTGAGAGCAGAGCGTACATTGGATTGGCTTTGGTTTCGTCTGGACTGTTTAGTATGTATTTCGGGCTAAAAAATCCAATGAGTGATCCATTCGAAAACAAGCTTATGTTGTCTTCACTTGCCGTTACCTTCGTAAACCTTGCAATCGGAGCCGTCAGCTCAATCCCAGATGAAAGTTTTGCGTCATCAGTCGACCCAATCATGGATACCCTTCTGTTCAATGGCTTGGTTTATGTTGCCAACTCCTTGGTGATTGGACTCCTTCTTGGTAAGTCAAAAGCAAAAATTGTTTGTCTGTCACAGTCCTGCTCATACCTTAACTGACACCTTATTCATGTGATGTTTCTTATCCGCCTTGACGTATTTTATCTTCTTTTTATATCTATTAGCACCGGCGTTTCTTATTTGTTTAAAAGGGAAATTGTTTTCTGTGGATGGCTTATATAGAACGAGAAATATTCGGAGGAACTGGAGGTGAATCAGCGAATAGCACAGGATATTCACTGATTGAGTAGTCAATCAGAATGCGTGAAAAACGCTATCCACTGTTTTAGTATATACTAAAAAGTATAAAAGGCTGGTTTACACGCCACCAGATTTGTCGGCAAGATTTTGTAAAGTAATCTTGTCGAACACAAATAATTCCAGCCTGATTTTGTTTTTATTTTGGCCTGCCTTTTGACAAAGAAATGCAACCTAGAAACTGCAACATGTAAATTGACTGTCACCGAGGACTATGGTGTCCTATAATCGGCCCTATTGCGTAAAATTATATTTCGGGCTGTCCAATTAACCTTACAAAATACCAAGGTGGTGTATAGGAGGGCAACTCAGTTTTTTGGTTTAGGAATAATTTGTTTTTTAGGCCTAATCTAATTTGATCGAAGATGATTGCTATTTTTTGGGTGCACGTTAAGACTATTAACTCGATGTAAAATTTGTTTAACCCTTCATTGTACTGTTTGCAAACTCTTTTTTTTTCTCTAAAATCACTTAGCCTTCCCTTAAAATTCACATGAATGTGACCTAAAGTTAACCGATCTGTGGATTACAAGTTTATTGTTTGATTTAAATTATCAATTTATTAACGGGAGCTTTGCTTTTAGCCTGCAAAGTGGAAACGTATTTTCTGTCGTCGCTTCTCTCCCTCCGAAAAATAACGTCTGCGATCTCGAGCTGCAACACGATTTCCGTGAAGTCAGTGTTTATTAACCAATCATCATTTGGCTCTTATATTTGTGGAGCTAACACGCGTGGGGTTTACGTGGGGATCTCGCTAAACGCGAGAAAAGATAAGGTCGGAGTTCACTAGAAGACGCGTTTGCCAAAGTATGCGATATTTTCGGATTTCAGAAGCTTAAACAAGCACCAAGAAGAAGCAATTCGACAAGTAATCGAATTAAAAAGTGATGTTTATGAACCTTGATGCGGATTACCGACTGGTTATGGATAGTCTGTCGCGTTCCAAGATTTGTTTCAATAGATAAATGTGAGAATAACATGTAACTGTTATTTTTTCGCTATTCAGTCTCATGGAAGTTCAAGTGAGGCGTTTATCTTTACTTGCAGTACAACGCGATATCGCTTCGTGATATCAGCTCGGCGGCGAACATAAAAAGATAAAAAGCTGGATAAAATTCTATCGTTTACGGATCACCAGAATCTTGGCTTGGTAACGTACGAAGGCGAAGAATGTCGGCAAGCGAATCGTACAAATAGTTTATGAAGCTATATTTTAGGCTGCAATTCATTCTTCTAAATTTAAATCTGTTCATCGCTATCCGTAAGAATTAAACATCCTGCAAACAAGACGAAACGAGCTGGGCCCAGCGTGATTCAACATTGCAGGAAAACATCACACTCATGGACTAAAGAAAATCGCTCAGTTATTCAGATCCAGAAGGCACTTTGGAGTAAATTAAAGAACCTAAGACCCTTATTTAGCCGCAATAAAGAGCGTTACCCCTCAAAAGCGGTCACAGAAAATGATCGTGCATCATAGGACAAATCCTCTCCCCGACCAGAAACAAAAACCACAGAAAATCAATTAGCGGGTCATGACCTCTCAGTGTGAAACAAGAGGCTAAAATAACATTTGCTCAGTCGAAACGTAGAACCCCTCCAGCATAATCTACCCGTCAGAGGAAAAAAAACATTGCAACAAGCAGCTTTTGACATGAGGTAAAAGTCGTCCCTCAGAGGCGATGAGCAAGGAGAAACATCTGCCGTTCGAAGGCTATTTCAACCGACGTAAACAGACAAATAGACAGTGAAATCGACTCCAACTGAGTCCGAACAATTAACGCACAAATCTCCAATTCACTCTCGCTAATAATCTTCACTTTCTCCTTCAGACTGGAAATTTTACACTTAAGCGAAAAGGAAAAAAACAATATCCTTTGACCGAGGAAACTTTTTTCAGCGTTTCCCCTCTCATAGCTACATCAACAGTTGGCGGTCCTCGCGATTTCGCGCGTGCAATCAATCTCATTTTTCTGTCCCTCAATTTTATTGGTTGAGGACAGAAGAAAAGAAACGACGTCCCGGAAATCGTTTCGCAGCTCGAGATCGCAGACGCTATTTTCGGGGAGAGAGAAGCGACGACCGGAAATACGTCTGCAGTTCGCAGGCTACTTCGCTTTTAGCCCTGGCTTAATCGATATACTATAGGAGTAATCGGAGCTTAGGAGAGTGCGTTCGATATGCATATGTTTGTTAGGCGTATAGGTAACAGTTGAGGGGGAAGGGTGGATGGTTCTTGCGATAAATAACTATGATTATACCCGGAGTAGTCAATCGATAAAAATCGTTCTCGATAAAAATCGATAGCAATCAAGTGATTTTTATCGACTGATAACGAAAATCGGTGAAAATCGATAAATCAAATTGCTGTGTCAAATCGATATTATGGATTTGTCATGATTTTAACGATTTATAACGGTAACTCCGACATTGTTGTTTTTTTTGGCATAAGTTAAATAGTACAGCTGAGAAAACACGTGACGAGCAACAACTGATCAACAAATAGGAAATAAGAATTGTGGAAACTATTACAGACAAAAAATTATCTCTAAAACCGTGATCCTTTTGTACATAATAACAGAAACGGTTCGGTTTAATTACATTCGCAGTTCTCGCAGGCAAGTACCACGAGAAATACAACCTTAGATAAAAGATTTCGCAGCCAAGGAAGACATCCTCTAGAGTGAAAGGGATGCCTGAATTTCAGACTAAAAGATTTCTCTGGATAGCTTTTCACCGTTTTCCCTTATCAATCGAGAAAATCACTTGATCGCTAACGATTTTATCGAATTCGATTTTTATCTATTGGCTACTCCGGGAAGTAACTACACGCGGAACTTTTTTGAAAGGGCGGCAGATCTAAATCGTGAAAAACTGGGAAAAATATAAGACCTGGCCAACCTAGCAAACCTGACCTATATCGGTCATCCGAAGAATACTTTGTTTAATTGAAAGCGGGTTTTAAAGAAAAGATAATATTTGTTTTAACTTTTTTAAAAAAAGTGATAGTAAATTGTTTGATCCCTCGACTCTCAATTGCAGCTCAGTTGTCAACAAATTCACCGTTTTCATTAAATCAGTTTTCATTTTTGGATGAACAGAAGAACAGATGTATCTTCCGATAAAAATCGGTGGAATCGGTAAAATCAAGATAAATCGATAAACGAAACGAGTGTGTCATCGATTTCTACCGATTGGTCGACACAATCGATGCCAATCAAATCAGATTTACCGATTTTTATCGATTAATCGATTAATCGATACCGATTTTTATCGATTGACTACTCCGGGGATTATTATAGCATATTTTGAACTTAAGGGTTGCGTACAGCGAAACTTCTATTTAAACTGTGTATCATTATGAAAAGGTTTTGAAGGCTAGTGATCAAAGTGATATCGTATGGTTCGTCTCAAGTGGTTGTAATTTGAGGAGATACTGGCCAGACTGCGTCGGGCGTGTAGAAAGAACGTGTTGTTTTGATTGCTGCAATAGATGTTCTGCAGGGCGCAGTTGTTCGAAGGCCGATTAGCGCTTAACCCGGGTTTCTTTTTCTTTTGTTCAAAAACATTTCTTTGGATAATTTTCTCTGCTATTTTCAAGAGCATCCGATCATCAACTTTTTGACAAAATGAAGCTTTCACATCGGAATTCAAATTTCGATGTAGTCATTAATTCTATTTACTGGGGATCCCACATGCAGACAATACTGAAATTTACTATGAAATGAAACCGTTACTAGCTGGCAAG